GTCTCATACAGGCGTGTCACTGCCATCACCTCTCTTTCTGCATTGTTTCGCGCCCAAGATGGGGCATTCGCAACAACAGCACAACATTTGTCCACAATGTCCGCGGGCGCAACCTGTATATCTGTAGCGTCCGTAATATGCTCTTGGAACATCTCTACTTGACTTTCATACGGCACCAGGGCCGGCCATGCGAAGCGGACAACGCACCCCTCGGTATTTTTCCACCTCGTATTCTTCGCCTTCCTAACCAGCTTCCTCGCACAGCGACGTATATCAGTGGGAACATGTTGCGTGTTGAGGTTATCAGGTGCACGAACCCTAAGGTCAAACGGCTCCTTCAGACGAGTTGGATAGGTTTCGTAGATATCTGCCAAACGGTAGAGCTCGGCTGCCATTGTTTCTGCCCTGAGCAATCGGAATTGTTGGTACATGTCGATGAATGTTGCTAGATCGTCGATACTGAACGGCAGATCCTTCGAGAGGTATGCGTACCTATGGCAAACCGCGTCTTTTATACCTAGCTTGGGGACCTTGGAGAAGATAGCTTTGGCTTGCGGGGACAATCGTGGGAGCCATGGTTCGATGAAGCGTGCGTAGTGTTCGTGGAACGCAGACCACGTTCTGTCCATGACGATGGAGTTAAGTTCCGCGAGGAAAGTTCTTGCGAGTTGGTGTTCAGCAAACCTGGACCGATTTTGAACATCTGCTGGTAACCATCCGCATGCAGTCGCCTTCCAGTCTTCATTGCGGAAAAACAGAAAAGCTAGGCTGCGTTCGAATATGTATGGTATTTCGTCCTTGGTCTTGGGTTGGATGAAGCACAAACGCCTTACGCTGTCTGAGATGGAGAGCAGTTTTTGCCATGTGCTTCTGTCTTCAGCACGGAAGTGATCGCCCCAAGCTGAGATGCTGTTTTCGAGGGACCAAGTGAGACGGGGACCAGCGCATGAGGACAGGCGGATTAATTGCGAGAACTCAAGATCGTTCAGTATGTCTCCGTGGAGCTCACAAGGGAGCTTTTCGAGATCCTGCGCGATGCGCTGGAACCTTTTGGTTGCTAGCATAGGTTTTTTATTTTCCTTTGGTGCTTGATTGGTTTTGGTCTGGGGCAGGCACAGGACTAGACTGGAGGTTGTGAATCTTCCAAGTGTGTGGCTTGCCTGTTAAGATGCGAATAGTTATGATTGAAAGGTACCTCTATTCGTTCTCTGTGTTATGAGAATACAACCATCTACGCTTGCCATTCGTCAAATGTTGCTGCCTGGCGTCCAAGGGTTGAGTCATGGAAAGGGCGCCGGTAGCGTCAGGTACGCCGCCCTTGACCAAGATCCACTATCAGCAACTACCTCGAATCACCTTGTGAGCGCCCACTTTTTGAGACACCCTTAGAACCGAAAGGAAGCTTATGGTATACCTGATGCGCTATGGCAAACCCCAATTTCTTGCTATTGCCTCAAATGTGTCGGTCCGTCAGAATGTAACGCGAACTTTTTGACATACCTGCACTCGTGGCCTACCTGAATAGTTACACTGCTCCAGTGTCGAGAAAACAAGATACATCTCAACTTTCCGTATCAAGAGTACTGTCTGCTACCATGGCACACTTCTCACCGTTATTAGCAGCGCATTGCGCAGCCACCGCTACACCACAAGAGATATCCAATTGGCTGCGAGATGATGAAGCGCTCATCAGCGCTCAAGGGAATTGCAGCTGGCTAGCTTACTATCTACCGGAATACGAAACTGAAAGAGGGTTAGCTATTGCGACATGTCTTACACCGTCGCCCGCTTTGGGTCACGACATCAAAAAACTCATCTACAAAAACGTTCTGAGCAGGATCCGCCGGCATCTGAAGAGAGGTGGATCGAACACAACGCCGGACGAAACTGTCCACGAAATTGGAATCGCCGAGCAGGCAATACCTCATTCGGAACTCTCGACTACCTTGAGAGTTATTGCGCATCTACAAGAGGCCGCTATAATCCAGCGAGACACCACAGCTAGCACTATCATGGCTTGGTTGGAGGAGCGAGTTGCTCTCAGTCGACACACCATCTCAGAGTCTGCTCCACACGAGGCGGAGATTCCAAGGCCACCGCCCACGCCACGCAAACGTTTGTGTTACATCTGTCGTATGGCTATGACCACTTCATACCCTCCTCAGCCAGCCATGTGCATACCCTGCGGTTCCTTCAACCACTCTTCTTCCATGCTTTCGACCCCATCAAAGCTGATCTTGCCACATACCTTCACCGCGCTCGTAACAGGAGCGAGAGTCAATCTTGGCTACCACACGGCATTGCGTCTTCTGCGTTGCGGTGCCCGAGTAATCGCTACAACACGGTATCCGCTTGATGCTATATCGCGGTATATCGAAGAGCCTGACTCCCATGTATGGAAGGATAGATTGAAAGTAATAGGTGCAGATTTCAGGTGTGCGAAGGACGCGCACGATTTGGTGCATGAAACGAAACAATGTCTGAAGCAATGGGCTCATGGAGGGGACGTGAGATTGTCCGCATTGATCAATAACGCAGCGCAGACACTTACAGACAGCGTGAAAAGAGAAGAACATGCCATAGAGCGAGAGAAAGCTTTGGGTAAACGTTTAGTACACCGGGAACTATTGATTGAAGGGAGTTACACAACCAGAGTGCGAGGACGAGAACTACCGATGAGACTGCTAAACGCTGGGTCGACTAGTGTGCCTCCAGAGAGCTCTCTCGAAGAACAAACAGGCGCTGCAGGCTCGGCAGACATACTCGATATGTCTTACAAAACAACCACACAAGTAGAGCCCTACACCAAGTCCTCCTGGGTGCAATCTATATCTGAGATACCATACGAAGACGTTGGTTCCGCTCTCTCAGTCAACACGTTCGTCCCATTCATCCTTTGCAGGGAACTCCTTCCTCTTATGGGCTGCAGCAGTATTGAAAAACCTACCAAGCCTCAAGGCTACATAATCAACGTCTCTTCCCGCGAAGGCATATTCGAGTCTCACACCTCTTCATCTGCAAAACGAGGCAAACACGTCCACACCAACATGTCCAAAGCCGCACTCAACATGCTTACCGAGACAGAAGCAGAGCCTGCTTGGCGTAAGAAGCGTATCGCCATGAACACAGTGGATCCGGGATACATGAGTGCGGCGCCTGAGTACGAAGATGCTTTCGAGGGCATGAGGCCGATTGGCTGGGAAGACGGGGCTGGGAGGGTGTTGTGGCCGATTGCTGTGGCGGAGATGGGGGAGAGAGTTGTTTGGGGAAGGTTTTTGAAGCACTATGGAGCTGTGGAGGGGGAGGCGGGTAGGGGGTGATGGAGGAAAGGGTCCAGCAGTACTATCCAGCAGACCTGTTCTGTAGCGTCTTGTTGCATATCTGTATGTATCCTTGTATTGTAAGGCAAGAGGGTATCGAAGTCTTGGTACAGTAATGACAAAGATCACGAGGCATGGCTGCCGTGTCTAAACGGCTAGTGTCCGGAGTAATATAACGGGCCAGACGCGTGACGCGGTAAGGGAAGGGTCAGGGTTTAGCTTAAACAGCTCTGCCGAAGCCAGCCCCGCCGAAACGTCAAACTGCAATCGAGCGTCTCTCCAGTCTCCAGCACGCCGCTCCGTCAGTTCACTCTGGCGCTGGTAAACGGCCGAGTCGCATTCGCACGCCAATTCTACACACGTGTGTGGAAGTACATTACCTAACAGTACACTCTGTTCACTTGGCTAGGCAGCCGTATCGTGGGGCCGTACAAGTACAGCGCCGACAGTTAGCAAAGCACTGGACAGACACACGACTATCCACCGCTCAACGAGCCGAAACCCAAACATCCACCATGGCATCCTTTTTCGAACAGCTATGGGAGTCCATCTTCATTGCGGGGCCGACGCCCACGCTCCTTATCGCAACAAACGCCTCGTTCGCCGCGCTCCAGGTCCTTTTGTTCGTCATGCTCATTGCGACGTACAGCATACACTTTGTTATTCTCTCGATTCTGTGTGGAGGGCTTTGGTGGTCAATCAACTGGTTTGCGACGGAGCTTCGCGCTGCCCAAGCCAAGGAGGAGGAGGCAAAGCGCATCCGGGAAGCCAGAAGGGGCGGCAAAGAGAAGGGTGACGCAGGCGACGACGGAGAGGGAATGGACACAGGCGACGACACCGAGGTCGACACCGAGGTCGAGCAGAAGCAGACCCTCAAGCCCAAACCCAACCCGCCGCGTGCACCACGCCCGGAAACGCAGAGTACCGTATTCGTTGAGAAGCCTGACGGAAGTGAATCAGACAGTCCAACACAGCTCTCGGCTTCTGCGGGTCGTGGAGGCCCTACTGCTGCTAGCACTACGGGGGCAACGACGAGTCTTGCGGCACCTGTAGAGGATGCGCTGAAGCGAAGGAAGGGCATGGGAGAATCAACCGGCGACATATCAACCGACAGCGAGTGGGACAAGCTGTCGGAGGACTCTGAGGATAAATGAAAGGTAACATGATCTTGTTAGACGCTATTCAACACTGTTGCGTATATTTGGAAACTAGACGCGATTAGACTCTGTGGACCTGTACATCCATGTCCTTACACGTGAACACGCGCTGCCGCCTTTGTTACCCTGCATATGGGATATCGCTGCCAACAAATTCCTGGTACCATGTCGCCATGGTTTCCACCTGCACCCTCTGCCCTTTGTGCCTTTCCACTTGATGTTCGTTCCCTGTGCTTGATGCCCAACCATGTCATGACGGACTGGCCGTGCTTGCCACGCGCCGCACCAGGGCCCTGGATGCCCCGCCTTGATGCAGCATTCACCCATCACAGTGCCACAGACTTGATTGTCTTGATGCAGCGCTCGAGATAATCCTCACATGTCGCTGATGAGGACGCGTAACCCTTGCCCGCACCGGTAGCGGTCCTGCTTGTCGATAAGTTGTTGCCTTGAGGCTCAATTCGCGAATACCCAGTTGCTTGTACCTCGTGCCCACCCCGCCACATCCACAACATTCGCCCTCATGGCTACCATCAACACCCCCGTGAGCCTTCCTGAGGTGACGGAACAAGCCGGGAACTACACATACAATGCGCACATTCCGTTGGCGAATTGGCTGCGCACAGCCAGTACTATGCAAAAAGAGGCCCAAGTCTATGAAGCAGAGGGCAACGACGCGCAGACCTATCTCCTCCTGTACCGACACGCCGATCTCGTCCTTCAAAAGCTACAGGGTCATCCGGATAGAAACAAACCGGAGAACCGGAAAGCGCTGAATGCTGCAACGGCAGCCGTCAGTCGAGATCTGAAGAAGCTCGAGGAGATCGCGCCGCGCATCAAGAAGAGACATGAGGAACATGAAGAAAGGAGACGGAGACAGAAGGAGGCTCTAAGGTCGTTGGAAGGAAATGGCGTCGGAGCGCTTCCCCAGGAGCTGGACGGGCTGGCCATTCAAGACCGAGGGTCCAAGAGAAGGTCATTCGATTCCAGACCCACAATCGATGCACGCTCTTTGGAAAACCAATCACTGGCCGCAAGACTGGCGCAGAGGGAAGTTCGGAGGAGAGACACCATTAGAAGAGGTGTGCGACAGTATGGTGTGTCGGAAGAAGAGGAGCAGGCACGTCGAAGTGGAGGCACATGGGACAGCTGGCAGAACCAGCTCAGCCAGCCAGTGGGCGACGGAGATGATATCTCGAACCAACTGCAAGAAGTTGCAAGGCTCCAGCAGAACGGCCATAGAACATCATACTCCTCGGTGCGCCCCATGCAACAGTTTTGTGGCTCCTGTACTGACAAATCCAGCGTCCTACGTCTCAGACCGCGTCTCCATATCACTACCCTACCGTTCCATACAAGACCGCTCAAGACAGATGGTCAGACTCACAGTCGCGCGACGCAGCACCTGCGCGACCTCCGAAAGAGCAGATATACAGACAATCCGGAACACCGTCAGCGCCACCACCCTTGCCGCCCAAGTCGCCAGCTTCTACGTACGATGCGCGATTTGGCCACTCGCGGCCTCCGCCTGTCCCAGGCAAGATCTCGGAAGGCGCGCCACCTCTACCAAGCAAGATACCCGACCAAAGACCGTTGACTCCTTCAGCCGAACTCGACGAGTTTACATTCAAGCCTTCTGCATTCCTCGAGAATGGCGACCCCCTTCGTCCTGTCTTCCTCCCGTCCCAATTGCGCAATCAGTTCCTGGCTGTTGCTTCGTCCAACACACGTCTCAACTTGGAAACATGCGGTATGTTGGGTGGAATATTGAAGTCTAACGCCCTCTTCATTACACGGCTTATCATTCCCGAGCAAACAAGTACAAGCGATACATGCGAGACGTTGAATGAAGAGGAGCTATTCGACTACTGCGACAAAGAGGAGCTCATGGTTCTTGGCTGGATCCATACACACCCAACGCAAACCTGCTTTATGAGCAGCAGAGACTTACATACGCACGTCGGATACCAGGTCATGATGCCAGAAAGCATCGCAATTGTTTGCGCACCGACAAAACAGCCTAGGTATGCTGATATCCTCACGACCGCGTTCGAGACACTGACCATATTACAGTTGGGGATGCTTCCGCCTGACTGACCCCCCAGGCAAACAAGCCATTCTCAATTGCAGCCGACCTGGTATCTTCCATCCTCATGATGTCGATAACATCTACACGGAAGCCTTGAAACCAGGCCACGTAGTTGAGCTGACCGATGCACCGTTGGAGATTGTTGATATGAGGCCTAAGAAGAACTTTTAAAGACTGCCTTCTCTACACTTTGAGGACGATATGACCGCAAGACCAATACCCAACCCATGGAGATTATCCATCACGAAGGAACAAACCTTACCGCATAGCGAGGAGTTTTTGTGCATTTGGGATTCTATGAATCTGCTGGTGTGTTTCAATAGGATTAAATGTGGCATGCCTAAAGACCAGCATACGAAATCAGTATTGCCCGAGTATCATTGTCCTTTGGCGAAAACCAGCATTTACGGAGTAAATGTGTTGAGTAGAGTTCGAGCATCATCACCACCGTCTCTTTCTCGTTTTGGGCGACACAATGTCCCGCCTTTTCCCTGTGTCCCCGTGCCCGTTATCCGCACTGTATACTTGCCATCCAATAGGTCAATTGGGTGAGTAGCTGAACATCTTCATCACCTCGTTCCAAAACATAGATCATCAGTCATCGACCGATTGCAAAAACATGAAAGAGCAAGATCACTTCACATTGATCGTCGGTACTGTTGATGGCATGTTACGTCGATACTTATGTGCTACGCTGATCTTAACAATCTTCCCAAACTCGATACAAAGAAGCAACAAGCAGCTCACTTGGCACTGCACCGGCAGGTTCCGTTTATCTTTAGATGAGTATGGGGAATGAGATTGCTTTTCTTCCCTAGCCCACGTGCGAAAAGAAAAACCTGTTCACGCATAGCACTACGTTGGTATCGAACATCGAACCCGACATTGAACCCGACATTGAACCGAGCCCAACCACCCCTTCCTGCCAAGAAAACACATCTACATCGCAGATAAAACAGTTCACGATCGTCGACGTCATCGCACGAAGGCGTTAAACAAATCATCTTGATTCCACCTACCCCCTTAGTCGGCTGCTGCTATCGGATAAGACCCGTGCCGGTATCCGAATTGCCGACCGATAACTGCTCCCCGAAACATTTCGGGAGATCGACAAATCGACAATGGCATACATGTAGCGTTCCCTTTCTAGTGCTGTCCTGCTCTTTGGCCAAGGAATCATTCGTTCGTATGCATATATGTAATATGCCATGTTGCCGAATGTGGACAGGGGATGATGCCTCGAAACAGGTTTCCGTCTGCTGGGTTCTGATGTAGTCAAGGGCAGACTCGACCTGAGTGTCGTATCAGGCCCGCACGAAGCTAGTTGTTAGGGCTATGGGGGTTTGGTAGCGTGGTTCGCTGTATTGAGAATATCGCGCGCGGGAACGGAGGGTCGTAAGGCGTTCCATTCATTGGTTTGCAGGAACGCGTGGTGCGCAGGAGGGAAAGTCAGGTTTCTTGTGGTATTCAGTGTTCTAGATGGGATTTCGGATCAAGCCGAAGGATCGTTAGTCTGAGGGGTTGTGGATGTAAGAGTGACTGTAGAGCATGTCATGCATGCAGGCGGGTACAGTGGGTATGTTGGGCGTAGACGCTCCCCTGGCATCGCTGATGCATTCACGCGTATCTGATCGAATTCGTAGCTGTCGCACATTGTTTTTCGTGAGGCTCAGTCAAGATTCCCATGCCAGCCAGCCACCGCGAGCTCAATTCTTCATAGTACAAACACCAAGAGTAATCATCGCATTCGGCGTTGAGATCGGCAACCCCCAGAGAACACCAATATACTTTCGGTATATCTACGCTAGCCGCATGGCTTTGCTTCTTCTACGTTGTTCTTAGTTAGCCAACGGAGCTTAGATGTTTTAGCATATGTTGGGCGTGTATCGAAAGGAAAACTTCGCACATCTGCCGTGGTCGAGCAGAGAAAGTGTATCGAGCCCCCCTCAGCCCAACTTAGAGGCCGCTGTCTGACATCGTTTGCTGGGTGATTACGACGCTGGTGTCGATGCGCACGCGTTTTGGTATGCGCGACATGTAGTCGGCGATAAAGTGCAGAGTCAGCTGCGTGCTTCGTATTTGGTGGCCTTATCAATCGGAACACCGTTAGCAGCGATCGTACGAGAAATTTCTTAGTCGGCCGAGGAAGGTTTGAAACATATGGAAGGAGCTGAAGGACTGACTGGATACGCCCACGCAACCTCATGTCATCGAATGACTAGGATGTGAAAGATCCCAAACGTGTGGTACCGAAAAGAGCGACGCGCAGCGGGGAAAGGGAGGCTGCACAACTATACCAGTTCCAGCGGTCCCGCCAAGCCTACTCCACAATTCTGGTTGGTGCTAGGTGTTACTAATCGCGTATCCTATCCCCATACTCGCTCAAGAGGCTCGGGCTGACCATGGAAATGTTGTTGATCATCAGTAACGCTCTTGTTAACGTCTACAAGTAGATCGGGGTGACAACGTCGAGGTTACGTCGCATCAGTGATCAATGTCTGGTAGCGGACTCTGCAACTGTTCCCGCGGCCCCGCTCGTTTGCGTGCAAACACTTGTCACGGAGATGTACAAACAGTTGTCTATTGATAACGTGGTTGAGAGACAATGCCGGAACGGTGGGGCGTGGTTGAATGCGGAGAGTGTTCCAGCAGCCTCTATAGGATCGGCAACTGCAATTTGACGTCAAAAAGCCGCAAACTTTAGGTACCCATCATCTCATTCCCAGGTGGGAATACATCTTGTATTTTACAGGGTCCGTTCAGTATTGCCGCGTGTCCATGAGTGAATTCTTTTGCATTCGTGCATCAGTCAGCTTTGGCAACGCAATACTAGGTGTAGTTGATTCGTGTTCTTCACCCTAACATAGTAATGTCGCCATTGGAGGACTGCGTGCGGGAGCTCCACAACTTGTGGCGTACGCGTAGGCTAGTCACCATCAGAACAGATGAGGTTTGGATAAACTTTGATGACTGGGGTAACAAAAAACGGATAAGCGGCAGCAGAGCCTTTGTCCCTCGCCGGACTCAGAGCTAGATGTTAGGCGGCCGTGAAACCACGTTTGTGTGACGTCGTTCTGTGGACTGATTGCCGAAGGTCCAGACGTCTAGATCTTCGGACGGGGAAAGCCGAGTCGTGATCAATAGGGATGGCTACTGAAGGAAAGGCCGCTAGACAGTTGAACTCCTTGGGTTGACGCAGTGATGTGAGCAATATGTGCGCAAGGACGAGATCTAGACAATTGTGCATCTGAGCCCAGTATCAAACGTGAGATGGCGGTTATCTGACCCAGACAGATAGTGGATTGAAAATATCAAGAGTAAATGTCGGTGTTTGTAAGTTATGGCAGTGGCTAGCAGATAAGATAACGTCCCCTTGACTTAGGGCTAGCTTCTCTTGATGACAGGAACAAATATCCTACATAGGCAATTCAGGTAAGACTCAAGCTGACCAGCCACGGTACACAATCTTAGTGCCATACTTCTCGCCTTTCTTGAGTGTCATCATAGACTTGTACTCGGGAACGTTGACAGCGTTCACATAGCGGCTGGGTTCGACACAGAAGCCAGAACGGGCGCCTCTGGCAGGAACATCGCCAACAGCAGGTACATCGATATATTTACCAGTGTAGAACTGGAAGGCTGGTTCAGTAGAGTGAATCTCGAGATGAATCTTGCTCTCTGGATGGTAGAAAGACGCGAGCTTTTGCAGAGGCGAGGAACGAGTATCGATGGGGATGCTGCTGGGGTCGGTATTGGCAACGAAGCAGTCGTCGATGTCAGGCTCTTTCTCCTCCAAGGTGAAAGTCTTTTTGGCGCTGACGCCAGGGTACTCTTCGATGGGCCCAGTGGGAATGCCGCCATCGTCTACGACTTGGTACTTGTTTGTGATGAGGTTCACTTCCGTTCCCGTGATAGTGGGCCCGCCAGATAAATTGAAGTAACTATGTACGCTATCAGTATGGCATCCATATGAGGTCCGTCGCAGAACTTACCTGTGGTTGGTCATGTTGATTGCAGTCTCTTCGACCTCATCGCCAACCAATTCAGCCTCATATTCAATGTACAGGACTTCCTGTTGAGCACCATCTACTTCCTCTCTAGCTTGTACATACCACACGCGTACCTCTACAGTACCGGGGTAGCCCTCTTCGCCATCCTTGCTGATGTATTTGAAGAAGGTAGCCTCCTTTCCATCACGGTCAACAGTAGACGGTCCTTCGAATTCTCGCTTTCCCCAGCCGAGATTTCCACCATGAAGAGAGTTAGGACCGTTATTAACTGGCAGCTGGTAGGACTTCCCGTTGAGGTCGTTGATCTTTGCCTTGGACACACGGTTGGCGATACGACCAATTGTCTCGCCAAAGTACGGGGCGTTGTATTGCTTGTACAGTTCTGCCGATGGGAAGCCCTGGACAATGTTCTTCCCGTTCACTACAAACTTTTGAATAATAGCGCCTAGGGGCAGAAACGTAAAGGCCTTGGTAGAAGACATGATACGAACGTCGATGTGACTGATCTAGTTTAAAGATAGGCGAACTCCCGTACGTTTGATCTACATCGCTTTGATTAGTTGGATACTTCAAGCGCTATGAGCAGCTACCACTATTGCTGCACTCTCGTGAGGTCTGATGTGGTGTGATGAGGGGTAAACGTTCCGGAGCGGGGCAGCTACAGGACGGCGACGCACCTCAGCTAGTAGTCTGGCTTTGCTTCGAGTGTTATCTTCGTCTTGAAAAAAAGGTAAGTAATGCTCGTAAAAGGTCCCTTGGATACTTGAGCTTATGGCTGTGAGAAAAGAGTGCGCGCTGCAGACCTTAGGTACGTATGCGGCGATTGATTAGCCTAATGAGGGTGTGGAGCACTCGTGGACATCCTTTCTGCCGTCGTCACCACGTAAGGTACGGCAGAAGTGTTCACTCGCGAGTACGCAAACGACGCGTCGGACGGCATGCCGTATAGGGACTTGATCGCTTCGCCTGATGGACTTGTGGCAGTGCGGGCGAATGCGAAGGGGACGTGGGGCTGAAAGCTGCAATTAGTAATCGAAAGTCAAAGCGCGCACACTGAAACCCGCGAGCATGGTGATTAACATCGTCTTCGACTATGATACATTTGAGATTTACAATAACGCCATGAATCTGATCGCCTTGCTGGTCGGTAATCCTGACCGA